TTCCTTCCTTCCTTCCTTCCTTCCTTCCTTCCTTCCTTCCTTCCTTCGCTCCCTCCCTCCCTCCCTCTGCCTCACAGGAAGCAAAGGAGTTGCTAGAGAGGTAAGTAGTGTTTCTCTTTTCTAATATATCAAATTACAGCCAAAGTTAGGACCAACATTTCCTTTGATAAGCAAGGTGGTTGTTAAATGTCGCCCCCAATCTTTTTTTGCCACCGTTGTTAAGTGAACCACTGCAGTCATTAAGCGAAGCCAGCTTCCCCTGTTGACTTGAATTGCTCCAAGCCAGCTTAGAAAGTCGCATATGGCCGCCATGTGACCCCACTCCCCACAAAATGGCAGCTATTATAAATGCAGGCTGCTTGTCAAGCACCTGTATCCTAATCACGACCAACGGCTGTAAATGTGAGGATCGGTTGTAAATCACTCTTTTCAGCGTTGTTGTGCCTTTGGTCTCTCAATGAATAAGTTGTTAAGTCCAAGACTAAATACTGTATATGATAAATATATGAAAGGAAGAAAAGCATGAACCCACAGGGAGGGCTGATTCTACAAAGGTGTCAAACTCGATTTCATTGAGGGTTGTGTTTGACCTTGGGGTGTGGGGGGGGGCGTGGCCAAGCTGGGCGTGGCCAGCTCAACATCACTTGTGTTGGGGGTGCCTGTGGTGGCCCCAGCACTCTGCCAGAGAAAATGGGCTCCCCAAAAATGGACTGCCAGCAAAAATGGACTCCATTTTCAGCTGTGACGGCTTCTTGCAACTCTCTGCCAGCGAAAATAGAGCTTGGGAGGGCCACATGAGGTAACTGGTAGTGGGCATTTTGAGTAGTTCGGAGAACCGGCAAATACCACCTCTGACTGGAGATTTTACAGTATCCTTCCCCTGCCACGCCCACCAAGCCACGCCCACAGAACCGGTAATAAAAAAGAATTGAATCCCACCACTGCACCACCGGCCAGTCCTTTGCTGTTTCCAGGGCAGCCCTGCGGGCCATATCTGAGCACCCCACAGACGGCATCCGGACCGCAGGCCTTGAGTTTGACACTCCTGATACTGGGTATCTTAGTTTGCCTCCTCACTGTAGGCATGATTTTCTCTACCACCTTTCAGAAGCTGCTAGATTTGCCAAAATGAATAGGTGAAGGACCTTCACGTAAGGAACTGAAGATAGTTACTTGTTTACTTCCATTAAAAAAAACTCTGCTACAATTATAAATTTGACTCCTCTTCCTTCTTGGAAGTAGAGGCAAAGCAAGGTTTATTTGGCCACAAAAAGAGTTTAATTGGGGGTGGGAGCAGATCATTGTTCTTCTAGCCCTTTGGCCCCTACCCAAATCATTCTAAAAACTCTGTAATATTAAAAAAAAAGAAAAAGTGGAGATTTTCTTGGTAAATCTTTACTTTCGATGACGATGTGGACATTTTCAACATGACCATCACCTTCTCCTGGTTTTGCACCTTCCCTCAGAAGTATTAATCAGATCTGAACCTACTTAACTGTTTTGGAAATCATCCTTTGTTGGCTTTGTGCTGTTCTCTGTTGTGATTATTAAAAAAAAATGCACGGGTGCTTCTAATAAAACCTGATTTATGGAGCAGGAGACAGTCCTAGGTATAACTGTCTTCCAATTCTAATCCTCCCATTTTAATCCAATATTTTCCATGCTATTTTTCCTTGTTGCATAAAATCAAGGTGAAAGAAAGAAAAAAATGGCAGCATCATTACTTTTTGATCAGAGGTGCTCAAATATTTTTCTGTAGAAGGACCCAGGTGTGATTCCTCCAGGTTTGATAGATAGAGCTGTGGTGGCGCAGGGGTTAAAATGTAAGTACTGCAGGCTACTTCTGCTGCTTGCCGGCTGCCTGCAGTTTGGCAGTTCGAATCTCACCAGGGTCAAGTTTGAACTCAGCCTTCTATCCTTCCAAGGTTAGTAAAATAAGAACCCAGATTGTGGGGGCAATATGCTGATTCTGTAAACCACTTAGAGAGGGCTGTAAAGCACTGCAAAGCGGTTTATATGTCTAAGTGATATTGCTACTGCTATTGGGGCAGCTTATTCTAAAATGGCCGATCCTTGGGATGTTCTTCTCCTACAGGCTCCGTAAGGAACAAGGAGCTCCGGACGAACCCGAGCTAGATGCTGAAGTGGTAGGAGAAGATGGGCACGGTGCCAGCAGTGAAGATACAGATGAGTGTGAGAATGAAATTGATGAAGACGTTGATGATGAGGAAGTGGAGGAAGTAGAAGAAGAGGAAGAAGAGGAGGAGGAAGAAGAAGAGGAGGAACAGGAAGAAGAAGAACAAGAGACAGCAGAGGAAGAAGAAGAGGAGAAGGAAGAGGATGAAGATGGAGTGGTGGCTGTCGACTTGAACCTGGGCGAGTTTAAAGGACCTCTGCAATTCTACGCCTGGAAGGAGCTCCTGGGTGCAGTACATCCAGGTGAGTTGAGGTTTTTAGACCAAATGTACAGGTTGTCCTTAACTTATGACTTAGTATTATCTTAGTATCATCTACAAATTGGGTAAGTTCCCCTTCTATTCCCTCATTAACGACATAGATGAGGTGTTAAGTTTGAGCAATGAGAGGCTGAACCAGAGCATGAGTGCAACAGTACTTTATTTTACAAATAAAGGGCTGACCGTGCTTGCCAAGCCTGGAACTGGCTCGCAGCAATCAGCAACCAGCTGGACCCCGCAGCCTGCTTTTATAGCTGGCTGCTGGGGAGAACCAACCAATGGGAATGGGGGAATATCGCCCACACAAAGTGAGTGGACCTGAGTGAGAACTCCTTGAGTCCTCAGGACATAACACCCCTTCCCCCCAGATGCGAACACGCATAGTCCTTGAGGTAGATGGGGGGTTTGTGTTGGCGCCCGGAGCGGCGCAACTCAGGAACATTGTCTGACTGTTCGGTATCAGTCTGTGACGGTTGAGCTGGCATAGTGTCGCCAACACTCTCTCTGGACTGGGCATCCTCGGAAACCACCGGGTTGGTTTCTGGGGTCGAGCTCTCGTGGGTTGAATCCGGTTGGTCAATTCTCTGGGCGCTGTTGTCCGAGTTTGGGCTGACCGGAACGACCGCTGGCGCAGACTGGTCACTGGGTGCGGTGTGGCTGGGTGGCGGATGAGGCGGTTCCCCTTCGACTGGAGACTCTGGATTCTTGTTTGCGAGGTTGCTGAGGCGCCTTCTGAGTTGGTCTATGTGTCTCCTCCAGACGCGACCATCCTCCAGCCTGACTCTATACGATCTCGGCCCGGTGACGGCGATGACCTCGCCCGGAATCCAAAGTGGGTCCCCAGCGAAATTCCTTGCGAATATCGGCTCCTGTAACATAAAATGTCTAACCCCCGAAGTGGAAGCGAGGGGAGAGTCAGGGCAGTATTGTGGGTGCAGTCTATCTAATACAGTCCTCAGGCGCCGGCCCATCAGAAGTTCCGCTGGGGACTTATTGGTGACTGCACAGGGGGTTGAGTGCTGGCTCATCAGGAACCGTGAGAGCTTGTGGTGCCAGTCATCTCTGCCAAACCTAGCGAGGGCCTCTTTGGTGGTCCTGACGGCCCTTTCAGCCAACCCATTACTCGCAGGGTGAAATGGGGCTGTGAAAATGTGGCGAATGCCTAGGTTGGCTGCAAAACGGCTGAATTCTACTGATGCGAACTGTGGGCCATTATCGGAGACCAAGGAGTCGGGTAGTCCATGTGTAACGAACAGGCGCGTTAACACGTTGGTGATTGCTAGTGTGGTGGTCGTGGATAGCTGTGCCACGTCTATCCATTTGGAATAAGCGTCCACGACCACTAGGAACATCTTTCCATGCACGGGGCTGGCCAGATTGATATGGATTCTAGACCAAGGGGCGCTGGCGCTCTCCCATCTGGTAGGGGTGGCGATGGGGGGAGCAGGACGGGATTCCTGGCAAATGCTGCAGGAACTTACCCAATTGACAATGTCCTCGTCTAGACCCGGCCACCACACGTAGCTGCGTGCCAACGCCTTCATTCTCACAATGCCGGGGTGTCCCTCGTGCAACGCCTCCAGGACTCGGGTACGCAGCGAGGTCGGAATGACCACTCGAGTGCCCCACAGTAGACAACCCTGCAAACTGGACAGCTCCTGCATGCGAGTCTTAAAGGGTGCGAATTTGTTATCAACATTGCCTCCCGGCCACCCCCTCCTCACCCAGTCGAGCACCTGGGCGAGCGTTTGGTCTGCCTTGGTTTTGGCGGCGATGTCAAGGGCGGTGATGGGCAGGTCCAACTGGGTGATTTCAAAAATGGCATTGACAGGAGCTGGGTCTTCAGCCGGAGCGGGTAAGGGGCAGCGACTGAGCGCGTCAGCATGGGATAGAGTTTTGCCCGGGCGGTGGATAAGTTTGTATGAGTAGGCCGCTAGGAAAAGTGTCCACCTTGTCATCCGAGGGGAGAGGACTTGAGGTGTCTGCTTGTCGCCGGCCAGTAGGCCCAGGAGGGGCTTATGGTCGGTGACCAGTTCGAAGAAGTGGCCAAAAAGGAATTCGTGAAACTTTTTCACGGCTGCAACAGCTGCTAGGGCTTCCTTGTCTATTTGGCTGTAATTTCGCTCCGTGGCCGAGAGCGTCCTGGAGAAAAAGGCGATGGGGGCCTCGGCGCCATTGGCGAGTCGGTGACTAAGGACCGCCCCAATTCCAAAAGGGGATGCGTCTGCTGCCAGTACTAAAGGAAGGTTGGGGTCGAATTGGATGAGCACTGCCTCTGACGTAAGTAGTGATTTGACGGCATTAAACGCCTGGTCTTCTTTGTGCCCCCAGTGCCACGGTGACTTTTTGTCTAGTAATCTGTGTAGGGGTTCGGCTACTGAGGCTTTATGGGGCAAAAAGGATGCATAAAAGTTTAGGAGCCCCAAGAAAGCTTGTAGCTCCGTTTTGGAGGTCGGTGTGGGAGCTTCGTGGATCGCCCTGACCTTGGACTCCAGGGGGTGAATGCCAGAGGCGTCAATTTTATAACCCAGAAAGTCCACCTGTCTAGTGGCAATGGCGCATTTTTCTTTCTTTAACTTGAGGCCATGCTGTCTGAACCTCTCTAACACTGCTCGCACTCTCTGGAAGAGTTGGGGTCTGTCCCTGGCCGAGACCAAGATGTCGTCGAAGTAGGGTACTACACCAGGGAGGCCCTGTAAAATCCACTCCATGAGGGATTGAAAAATACCCGGGGCAACACTTACGCCAAATTGGAGACGCTTGCATCGGAAGGCACCCCTGTGAGTGACGATGGTCTGAAGTTCCGCTGTTTGGTTATCAACAGGGAACTGTTGATATGCTTGAGACATGTCCAATTTAGCAAAAATACTGCCCGGTTCGAATGTGTGCAATAAGTGCTGAATGACGGGCACGGGGTAGGCGCTAACTTGTAAATATTTATTGATTGTTGTCTTGTAGTCCGAGCAAATTCTCAGGCTACCATCTTTTTTGAGGGGTGTGACAATGGGCGTCTCCCACTTGGTGAAATCTGTTGGCTCAATGACCCCTTGTTTTAGTAGTTTATCCAATTCAGCGTCTAGTTTTGGTCGAATAGCAAATGGAACTCTACGCGGTTTTAATCTGATTGGGACTGCCTGGGGGTCAACGGTGAACGAGATGGGGGTTCCATTATAACACCCCAGCTCCTCGCTGAACACATCTGCGTAGTCAGCGAATAAGGAGTCAGTGTCTGAGGTTGAGACAGCATGGACTCCTGTTAACCCTAGGCCGAGGTGGGGAAACCAATCGAGCCCCAATAAGGTGGGTAGATTGCCGTTAACTACCACTAGAGGTAGGTGGCCTTTAAAAGCTCTAAAACTGACAAAGAACTTGCCTCTGCCGATCACGGGAATGGCCTTCCCCTGGTAGTCCTTCAGACCGAACTGGCATCTCTGAAGCCGGGTAGTAGATAGGCTGGGGTGGAGTCTCTTGAGGGTGTTCCACGAGATTATTGAGAGCGCTGACCCTGTGTCCACCTCCATGTGGCACGGTTTACCTTCTAGGGAAACGGAGAGAGAAATTTTACTAACAGTGTGGCAAGTACGCCTGGCAAGGCGGTGCGTGCGACAGTTTAATACTTGCCTCTGTGGTCCCGAGTGCGAGGACGGGGGTCTGTGTGCAGCGCTTTGGGGGGCTTGGAAGACTCTCGCAATGTGCCCCCTCTTATGGCAGTTGTTACAAACGGCTCCTTTAAACTTGCAGGTGGCCCTTTGATGTGATCCCCCACAGGCTAGGCACAGCGTGATGTGCTTGGGTGGACCGGTGTATTCTTGTTTGGCCCCTACCTGCGACCGTCTGTCATTGGTGAGGCGATGGACATCGTTCTCATCATTGTGGGCTTCCTCCGCTTCCACCTCTTCGGAATGGACTGGGAACGATGCTAGCTTGGCACTTGGGCCCTGAATTTCGGTGGCTGAGTTCGTTGCTAGCTCGGCTGCTAGGGCCTCCTCTACCGCTTGCGCAAGGTTGAGGTCTTTTTTGGCTAGCAGTCGCCTCTGTAGGTTGAGATCCTTGACCCCACAAACTAATTGATCGAGGAGCATGTCCTCCAGGTATGTTCCAAACCCGCAGTGCAGGGCTGCTGTTCTGAGGGCGGCCATATATTGATTGATGGTCTCCTTACTTGATTGCTTCCTCATACGGAACGTGAACCTCCTGGCGATTTGTGAAGGCCTGGGAGCGTAGTGGTTAGTGAGGATCTCAAGCAACTCGGACCACGGAACGTTTTTCAATTCTCTCGGCGCTACGAGTGCTGCGGCGGTATCGTAAACGGTGGCTCCGCAGTAGATTAGGAAATAGGATTTTTTCCGATGCTCTCCCGCATCCGCCAGGCCGACCGCATCGATGTAATGATTGAAACGGTTCTTATACGATTCCCACTTCTCTTCGTCTGGTTTAAACGCTGGGAATACTGGGTTGGAACTCATGGTGCTGGAACGGCTGGGCTACCTGCGGAAAAAATCTCTCTGGGACTACGAGCGCTCGTGAGTTACTAGTGATATCAGCTCTGGAGAGGTTTTTTGCTAACCTCTCTTTCTCTCTCTGGGTTACCACGTTGGCTGCCAGCCGTTGGAGGTGTCTGGATTCGCGCCAAAAAAGTGGGCGTTAGTGACTCTCTACAGCGCTGTGCTGTGATTCCTACTGGTTCGAAATTCAAATGACACCCGTTTGAATTTCGCGCCAAATGCAGAGCGGCTGCGGCTCGCAGCGCTTCACTTTCCCCGTAGCGGGGCTAACAAGCGGCTACAGACGCTTCTAACTTTTTGACTCAGACCGCTTTCTCTGGCTGCGGATCTGCGTTTGCTCTTTTTGATCGCTCGTTTAGTTAGCTGACCGCTCTCTCTGGCTGCGGATCAGCGTTCCCCTTATCGCCAGCCGATCGCTCTCTCTGGGCTGCGGATCGGTGGCTAGTGACTCAGCGGTTGCAAGGTGCATCTGGTAGCCATCCCATCCTCGTCGCCAGTGTTAAGTTTGAGCAATGAGAGGCTGAACCAGAGCATGAGTGCAACAGTACTTTATTTTACAAATAAAGGGCTGACCGTGCTTGCCAAGCCTGGAACTGGCTCGCAGCAATCAGCAACCAGTTGGACCCCGCAGCCTGCTTTTATAGCTGGCTGCTGGGGAGAACCAACCAATGGGAATGGGGGAATATCGCCCACACAAAGTGAGTGGACCTGAGTGAGAACTTGAGTCCTCAGGACATAACATGAGGGAATAAAAGGGGGACTTACCAAATTTGCAGATGATACTAAGCTGGCAGGAATAGCTAACACCCAAGAAGATAGGCTCAAGATCCAGATGGATCTTGACAGACTAGAACCCTGGGCCGTATCTAACAAAATGAAATTCAATGTAGAGAAAAGTAAAGTCCTACACTTAGGCAAGAAAAAACAAAAGTACACATATAGACTGGATGAAACCAGGTTCAATAGCAGTAAGTGAGAGGGATCTTGGAGTCTTAGTGGACAACCAGCTAAATATGAGCCAGCAGTGTGCAGCAGCAGCCAAAAAAGCCAATGCAATCCTAAGTTACATTAACAGAGGGATACAATCAAGATCAAAGGAGGTAATAATACCACTCTATAAAGCCTTAGTAAGACCACACCTAGAGTACTGCATCCAGTTTTGTTCACCACATTATAAAAAAGATGTTGAAACTCTAGAAAAAGTAAAGAACGGTTGCAGGAACTGGGCTTGGCTAGTCTAGTGAAGAGAAGGACCAGGGGAGACATGATAACAGTCTTACAATATCTGAGGGGCTGCCGCAGGGAGGAAGGGGTCAAGCTATTTACTAAAGCACCTGAAGGCCAGACAAGGAATAATGGGATGGAAACTGAACAAGGAGAGATTTAACCTGGAAATAAGGAGAAACTTTCTGACAGTGAGAACAATCAACCCATGGAACAGCTTGCCCTCAGAAATTGTGGGAGCGCCATCACTTGAGGCTTTCAAGAAGAGATTGGACTGCCATCTGTCAGAAATAGTGTCGGGTCTCCCTCTTGGGCGGGGGGTTGGACTAGATGACCTATAAGGTCCCTTCCAACTCTGATTATCTGTTATCTGTTATCTGTTATGACCACAAACAACTGGCTAATATTAATTTGTGTCTAATTTTTTTCTGGGCTTTATACTCGTACAATCGCCTGCTGCACAAGTCCGCTCTTGTTCATTCTGAATCCTTTTCATCTTCCCTCTCCAGTCCCTGCAACCATCACTTTGGACTGCAACTCAGCTCATCCCAGCTTGGTCCTCGTGGAAGAAGCCACCGGGGTCAAGTTCAGTCCTGGCCGACGGTTCTGGCGACGAAAGCTGGAGCGCTTCACCTCCACCCCGTGTGTGGTGGGGCGGAAGGGCATCACCACTGGGCGCTTCTACTGGGAGATCCAAGTCGGGGACAGCCCAGGTTGGATAGTGGGGACCGCCAAAAAGTCTGTGAAGCGTAAAAAGCGGCTGAATTTTCTGCCCAAGGAAGGGGTGTGGGCTATTGAGCTGAAGGCGGGAGAGTACCAAGCCCTGAGTGATCCCCGTACGCCCCTTTCGGTCTGCGGGAGGATGGAAAAAGTGGGGGTCTACCTGGACTTTGAAGGGGGGCAACTCTCTTTTTACAACAGCAGCAGCATGTCCCACCTCTACACCTTCCAAGCGTGCTTCCATGAAGAGCTGCTGCCCTTCCTCAGCACTCAAAGCAGCTACCCCCTTTCGGTGTGGGACCTGGAGCTTTGAGATCTTAGCTCAGGGTGTAGGGTTAGGGTTAGGATTGCAAAGAACAGCCTGGTGAAAGTTGAAAACGTCGAGGTGTGTTAAGATGGCTGCTTTTAAGAGAAAGTCCATTCTATTCCCTCTTTGCAAGCGATCGCTCGAAGATTCGAAACTGGTCTGACCTGACTATTGTGGCCCATGATGGTGGTTCTAGGTGCAGAGAGCACTGTAAGTGTAGCTTTTAACTTGACCTTCTATTTGCCACGTGTTTAATTTGCTCGACCCGTTGACTGTGGCAAGGATAGAGGTTGCCTCTGTCCACCTGTGGTGCAAGATTTTACCTGCTTTCAATGCGTTCCACTGCAGGCAAAAACAATGAAGGCAAGCCATACTTCCTGCCCTTGGTTGGGAAGGTCATAGTAGAGGTGTTCAAATATTCAAATACTGGGTTGTGTTTGTATCTGCAACAAGTGATCCTTTTCCTCATCGCCCTTTAATGGTCACTGCCCTATAATGCTATAAGCCATTGCACCTCAGAACAATTAGACACAAGAACGATTGTTTTCCCCCATGCCATCATCATACTAAACACCCAATTCTCACAACACTGTCTTATGCCCTGGGAAGTCAAGCCACCCAATAGGGCTGTATTACTATTATCCTTCTTGTCTTTCCTATTACTTATTTCTTTAACATCTTATGACTATATCTTTGTTGTTTGTATGTCATGGTTTATATTGATTGCCTTTATTTAGTATGCTATAATGATTTGTGTTGATTGCTTATTTTGTATGCTATGACTATCACTGAGTGCTGTATCTCATGATTTATGATTATGGTATTTTAGGATTATGGTCATGATATATCACTTGGAGCTTATGCACCAGAGATAAATTCCTTGTGTGCCCAATAAAGTGCCCATACTTGGCCAATAAAGAATTTCTATTCTATTCTATTCTATTCTATTCTATTCTATTCTATTCTATTCTATTCCATTCCATTCCATTCCATTCTAAAGGAGCTGTAGTGGCACAGTGGTTAGAATGCAGTACTGCAGGCTACTTCTGCTGATTGCTGACTACCTGCAATTTGGCAATTCGAATTTCACCGGGCTCAGGGTTGACTCAGCCTTTCATCCTTCCAAGGTCGGTAAAATGAGGACTCAGATTGTTGGTGGGCAATATGCTGACTCTGTAAACTGCGTAGAAAAGGGCTGCAAAGCACTGTGAAGCAGTATATAAGTCTAAGTGCTACTGCTATTGCTTAATAAAGAATTCTTAATCAAGAATTAAGAATTGAAGGAACCAGGATAGAACAACAGGAGAAAAAAAAAAGCATTTTGTAAATAAATCTGACTGATGTTACAATGTATTCTGGAAGATACGGTAAGAACTGTAGGTAATATGCAGCATATAGATGCGAGACTAGAAAAGCTCCAGCAAATGACAATAAAAATGACAAAAAACCTCAGAAATTAGAGGAGAAATCAGAAAGAGCCGAGGAAAGAATAGAGGAGATAAATCCAAAAACGATACAAGCAGATAAAGATATGGAAGAGATAATAATAATTCTTAAAATGGTGAACAGACAGATGATCCCTTAAGAGTTCAAAATGTAGAAGGGAATAAAGAGAAAGATCTCCTAAAAATGATGAAAGATCTACAGATGGCTCCAACATAGAGGTCCATAGTCCTTTCAAAGGTGGAAGAGGGGAAAAAAAGAGATATTCAGGTAACCGAGGGTCAACCTAAGCACCAAATCGACTGATTTGTTTAAAAAGAAACCTTTTTATTTATTACACTTGTATATCACCCAACTCCCAATAGCTATGGACTGCTCACGAGTAGAAACAAGGAAAAGAATGCAATAATAGATCTGAAGAAGAGAAGATTGCAAGGGTGACCAAAATAAATAAATAAATAAATAAATCCGGAAGAGGAATGAAAAAGAAACAAGGTCACATAATCCGAAAGGGACATCACTCTTCCTTGAAAAAAAAAACCTGGGTCAAGGGCCGGATTTTCATGGCCCTCCTAAACCACAGCAGGGAGGGGGGGGTGTCCAGTGGTAGGATTCAAATTTTTTTACTATTGGTTCTGTGGGTGTGGCTTGGTGGGTGTGGCAGGGGAAGGATACTGTAAAATCTCCAGTCAGAAGTGGTACTTGCCGGTTCTCCGAACTACTCAATATTTCCGCTACCGGTTCTCCAGAACTGGTCAGAACCTGCTGAATGCCACCTCTGGGGATGTCCCCTGAATCTTGGGGCTCTTCCTCTGATTGTGTCCAACAGACCTTCAACTGTCAACAGTCAACCACCCTCAACTGTCACCACACTTTAATCTGGATTCCTACCTGACCAAAAGATCTTGGCTATCTCCTCATGGATTTTAAGACAGTTTGTGTCAGCTGGTGCTCCAAAATCTAAGAAAGAAATACTTAAGACTCCATTAATCAGAGAAAAGATATCTTTTACTGGAAATCAAGTGGTAGCCACAAAAGAATTCTGAATTTGAGAAAATGGGTGCATAAATCACATATACAAAGTAATGGCAAAGTTCCCACACCCAATAGTTCAATTGGCTCATCCAATTAAAAGTTGTGTATATCATTATGTGGGCATCTCCAGGTGGTGATGAGGCCTCTGTCCGTTGACCTTGACATATTTTGATAAAGAGTTGCAGCTGCTCATAGCATAGGATAGAAGCCTAAGCAAGAATCTACCCCCCCAGCTGATACAGTTCTGGTTTGTAACACCTCCAGCTCACTTCCCATAACCATATCCCCCTTCCTTCCCCAGTTACTTATGACAGCCGAAAGATGCAAAGCAAAGGGAGAAAATCTTGAAGGCTGACAGTTTGGCCCTCTGTTACCAATCTGGAGTGACACCGATAGCCCTGCATCAAACGCCTGAGCAACAAACATCAAACAGTCTCGAAATCGGTTTGGCTTATAACTCTTTATTAATTACAACCTCTGAAACAAACAAACCAAAAACCAGAATTCAAGCAGGACAACTGTCAAGTGATTATTTATAAGCCGTAGATTGAGACCCAACGAGCGCCGGGTCTACATCTTGTGCCACACCTCCGTAGTGAACAGGAAAGAAAGGCGGAGTTTCGGTCACAGGCGGGCCGTCGTATCCAAGGGTGGGATGACATGCTGGATCAGTTGGTTAGCGGCCTGCTGTTCGGAGGCCCCCATGTGACTGCGGGCCTTGATCAGCCAGTCCCACAGCATTCCCAGCCCCACCAGGAACATGATGCCAGGGATCAGCAAGAAGATCCGATAAAGGAATAACGGCCCTATATTGGAAATAAAAAGCAGCGGGAGAGAGAAATCTTCTCAGAACGTAATTTGTGACAAGCCAGGTCTCTGAGTAGATAGCAAGATGCAAAATTGTTCTATAAAACTGAAATTATCTCCCCCCCACACACACTACAGAATAATCTCTCTGAGGGGGAGTTAAGTGTGTTTTACTAAGCATATTTGGGGATAAAGATGCTTATGGCCATGTTGTGGTTGCCATATCTCCCTGCACACCAGATATACCTGGTTTTGTGTTCCCTGAAAAGGAATCCTGCAGATCAGGAAGCAAGGGGAGCTACGGTTTACAGAAGTACAGAATTACAAAGTAGGACCTTGGAGGTCTTCTAGTCCAACCCCCTTTCTCAAGCAGGAGTCCCTATACCGGGGTGTGTGTGTGTCAAACTCAAAGCCTGAGGGCTGGTTCCGGCCTGCGGAATGCTTAGATCTGACCTGCGGGGCAGCCCTGGAAACAGTGGAGGACCAGCCTATGGTGTCAGCTTTGGAAGCCATATTCCACGCTGCCACACAGCCTGAGAAGGTGGGAGCGGGGTGATTTCAATTGAGTATCTCTAAGTAGACAAAATAAAATTCTTTTGTTAGTTCAAGGTCATTCAGTATGGTGCAGGATGAAATAAGGATCTTACTTTTGGATGGATCGTGATTGGGCCATGGGATGTGATGACGACCAAGGGAGGATGGAGTTGTAGTTTGGGAAATAGTGGGAAGTCCAGGAAACTTTTAGATTCGGGATTCCACAGATGTGCCAGGTGCTAGTCTAATAAAGGTACTTTTGAGATATGTTTGTCTCAGAGTTGCTGATTGGAATGGAGGTTTGCTGGAGCACTGACACATGGTGCATCTGCCAGCAGAAATGGAGCTCAGGAGGAATTGGGAGGGAGAAGAAAAAAAGAGCATGAAGAATGACACCAGACCCACACCCACGAGGGCCACACACAAGATGCCACCACCACACTTGCACGTAAAAAGCAGACTCACACCCACACAGAAGATGAGACATGACCACGGACCAGAAGCCGTACTGCAGCTGCATCACTACCCACTTCAAACCCCTCCGAGCCATACATGAAGTGAACTGACCCCCACCATGAAGATGCGGCACAACCACGAACTCAAAGCCAAACAGCAAGATCACAGCTCACCAGCTCAAATCCCCCAGCAACTAAGACTAACCTGAGCACAACCAAGCCCCCACCTGAACAGAACACACCTCCAGCCAATCAGAACACAGCCATACCCCCAACCAATGAGAACACCCCCCTAGCCAATCAGAACACAGCTAAGCCCCCACCCAATCAAGTCACACCCCCACTAGCAGTTAAAAGAAAGAAGCAGCTGCAAGCTCACATCACCCTGAGAAGCACAGAGCTGAAGACACAAGCCTGAAGATGATGAATGAGACTTCATCGAAACGTTGCCTAGATACTTCCAATCTTACGTTCTCCCGAATAACCAAAGATCCATCTATCTATCTATCTATCTATCTATCTATCTATCTATCTATCTATC